TGTGATAAAAGATAAATGCTTTTGTAGTCTAGGTACTTCCAACAGTAAACCTAGATAACTTTATATTGTTACAATTATGAATATCAAATTTGTTTTGATCGTATTGGTGACGTTGTTTACTACGACACAACTTTGAGATGGTCATAATATCACGTCCAATTATCTAAGCTACTATGGCTTTGGGGCATCACACGAACATTCATAACATATTTGTCATAGGACGTCTCCACCCGCCTATAACTTTTTTTTTAATTTATTTGTCGTAAGACGTCTCCACCCGTCTACAACATTTTTTTATTTATTATTATTATTATTTGTCGTTAGACGTCTCCACCCGTCTACAACAATTTTTATTTTTATTGTCATTTTTAATTTTATTTTTCATTATTATAATTCTTTTTTTTTTTGTTATGGTTCGGATCTGCACGCCAAATGCGTCTTTTATAGTAATATTTCTCAAATTAAATGTTTGAATATCACACTTCTAGCTACAAAATATGTAATGAATTTGAAATGAAGTAAATTGAACAAAATGAAATACGCTCACCGGATAACTATTAGGTAGTCGAACAGTCCACCTTGCTGCTCGTTTACTTATACTCTCTCGTCACTCCAGCGGAACTTAAGCTGGCTGGTCACGAAGCACATTTCGAAGTCTTCCTCGATTTCTATTCACTTTTTCTGTGATATTTTTTTATATGAAATCTCAATTCTGGAATTATTTAAATTTTAGTTCAAAATCTCTTAAATCCAACTTTATATATTCTCTCCGCCTCGACCATCCTGTTTTAAATGTGTTGCTTCGATATCCACCAACTGATTGTCAAATTGTAATCTAAACTGTTAAAGCCGGATTGACTTATTCGTATGTTCATAACATCGGCAAGGATACTGAAATTGTCAGATGTACGCTGATGCCTGTAATCACATAAAACGAAGAAGATTTCGTTTCGTTGATAAATTTGATATCATTTTAATTCAATACGGGGATTTTTTTTATTTTTCACATATATTTCTTCGAACGGGATAATATGTTAATGAATGATAAACTGTTAGGGCTCTGTATTTTCATATAAGTTTGATAATTTATGATATAAGTTAAGATACTCGATCTATATGTATTATAGAGACGAATCTTCTTAGCATTCAATAGATTCACCGTGCGGGTGCCGGGTCCATCGCGTTGCAGGGAGAGGAGCTTCAACAGTGCCTGGGACTTGCGACCCAAGTGTAGGTTTAAGGGGCCCCTTAACTAACGCGCGTTATACGCTCACCTCCACTGTCCAAGCTCCTCTCCCTACCTAACCAAATTTGAAAAGAACCTACTAGTGCTGCCTTCGATGTACGTTCCAAGAATGAGTTCCATATTATTTGGGACTATCAGTATTTCCCTAAATTTAGTTATGTTTCAAAATAAGCTTGTGTATTTCTTTTACTTACCAAGCACTAAAATTTAAACAAGTTATCATAAATTTAATATAAGTAAATAAACTTCATATTCTATGTAATTTATTCACTTGAGAAATTTAAATATCAGTATATTTTAATAGAAAACTTAATATACAATAAGTAATAGAAGCAAAATTTTCAATCATGATATTTTTATGACAATTATTTGAACTGTTTTGTTTGAACAGAACTATTTCAATTTGTATTTCTTTAACACTCTTATCCAATCACTCAATCAACTTGATTGATTGGTTTCTACACGTTTTTATTGCGTAATGAATATTGGTTCAAGTAGGGGATAAAGTTAAAAAGATAAAGAAGGTTAATTTAGATTTTCTTCGGTTTAGCTTATATAGTTCAAGAATTATTATCTTGTAATATTTCCAGTAATTGTCTCGACTTAAAATAAATTTGTAGATATGCATTTAAGAACTTAAAAAAATGAGGTTCAATTGCATGTAGTTCATTAAGTAATAATAAAAAAAGTTCTTAAAATAACTTTAGGTCAAGTCAGAAATATAGAACAATATACATATGTTCATATGTGAAAATCTTAGAAATAATTGAAAAGAAATTTATTTATAATAAAGTATTTATTTGTAGTAAAGCCATACATTTTTGTGAAAATTATAGTCAAGTTATTAATATATCTAGATATTTTTAGTAACTCTGCCATGACATTTCGTAAACGGGCGCTAGAATTATTGAGAGATGCAAATAAATAAATAAATTATAAATGTTTAATAGCTATTTATATTGATTTTAGTTTGTATTGATTTGAATATTTTTAGTGATTTTTGTGCATGAATTTAATGAATTATTTAATTTTAATTTTATTAAGTACTTCTTTGTTTTTTGTGGTTTTTAATTTGTATAAATTTTTACTTATTATTATTATTGTTATTATTATTATTTAGATCTCTCTCGCTATAATTATATATTATATATTTCTCGCTATAATTATATACATATACATATTTTTAAAACATTGTAATCGTTGTGGCCACTTTAAAAAGCTACACATGTAACCTATTTCCATTTAATTGTTTTATATTCGGCATTTAAACATGTAGTAGCTGCTAGTGGTCCTTAAAATAAATAAATATATAAATAAAAGTAATGTTTTTAATGATGTTAATGGACGTAGAATTGATTAAAGAACATACAAAAATTCATTTCTTCTTGTTTATTTTGATTGGTGAACATAGTAGTACATATGTTTTACTGGTATGGTTATAATCGTGGTTTTTGAATTAAACTAAAATTGTGAATTAGTAAGCGTCCTCGCCATAAATATATTTCTCACTTGCTACAATATTTGAGCTCAAAGCTTAAATCTTGTGGTATTAAAATCCCTTTTTTTCATGTAAGAAAAATTTTATGTAATGAAAACATAGATTTTTTTATGATATAAAAATTATGGCATAAGTTTATAAATTACTTATTATGATAAATTTCAAAAGATGAAGAGAATTCAAAAGTAACATCATACAATTTTCAGCCTCTGTTGAACAAAGCAACATTGTATTTTGTAAGACACATCGATTACGTCGTCTGTAGTTATTAATTTTTAATCGTCACATCGAGTAGATCCATAAAAAAATACAATAATATTTTTTTTTGGACTTATATTAAAAAAAATATAGTAATTGACAATATTTACGTAAGCATGGGGGGAGGGGGTTTGCTTACTTTTGCTGACAAGGGGGATGGGGGGGTAAATAATTGTAATAAATCAGCTTACGTAATACTTGAACGGCCCCATATAGGTACATTTATAAAAACTAAGTAAATGTGGAATAAGAAAAATGTTCAGAAAAGACACATTAAAAATATTCACTAAAAGTTAATATTTTATGAAAACAGATCACCAAATTTTCTAAAGTCTAAAAACATTCAAAATTTATCAATACCTACTGAAATTGGTACAAGCTAAAAAGTTGGTAACTCTAGCAGAAATCTTTTTTGTTCAACACCACTTAGATATGATTTTATGTGTATTGCGATAGATTGTGTTGTTTTAAGTTTAAGTACATTTGCTCAAAATCTTTATAGTAATTTTGTACGTGAATGTAACCAGTCTTGATATAGAAACATAATCCCATACTATACCAATGACTTTTTTTTACTTTTCTTAACATTTTTGTTTACTATTTCTTAAATAGTCACCCATTAAATAATATTTCTTATTTACGGCCGCCAATTACACATGTTAGTAAAATAAAGTTGCAAATGAATACATATTAAGAACACTTTATCATCATTCATCACCACAAATAAATAAAACTTTGTCACTTCAGAATATTCATAAAACAATGATCTGAAAAATCTTTGTGATCATTGTTCTTTTGTAAGCATAAACGTATACACTGAAAGTCTTTAGTTTTCATAAAGACCCTGTAAATTAATACTTTTCAATTTTTTGTTTTTATTGTACTTAAAGCGACTTAAATGATGATACTACAGCTTTCGTGAGTTTGCTGCTTCGAATTTGTTATCATTTTCCAATCCAAAGTGTTGTTTATTACAAAGTATAATATATAAGATAATATAAATGTATATAAAATTAAAAAAATGGGGTAATTCGTATCTAAAGAGAGGTCAAACAATTTTTCGGTTGACTTGATAAGCATTAGCAAAGTACCTAATATCATATGAAGACTAATTTATTCTAGCATTGTCTAAAAATATTAGCTGATTTTATCATTCTCTCTACAACTAAGCAAAGTTCATATCAACAAATATATATTAATAATATTTTTAAAAGTTTTTTTTACCATATTAGATAAATTTTTAATAACAACTGGCTAAATATGTGAATTTTAAATTAAATTAATTTTAATTTAAAGAGCCTATGGCAAAAGTTTAATATTCTTGGGATGCTTTCTAAAATATAGCAATGACAAATATCTTGTACAGCAAAGTTACATATGTTCATATATGAATATTAAATAATCTATATATATTAACGAAAGTCGTGTTAGTTACTCTACTTTTAAACCCAAGAACGGCTGAACCGATTTAGCTAAAAATTGACAGGGAAGTGGTTTAGAACCAGGAAATTGCAATAGGATACTTTTTATCCCGTTCGACAGCCTTCCCGTGGGACTTGACATGAAATGTCAGTCACTATAAAACGTGGAATAACGAAACACAATTGACAGCTATGCAATTGACGAGACGAAACCTCTTAGCGTTCAATGGATTCACCGTGCGGGTGCCTGGTCCATTGTGTTGCAGGGAGAGGAGTTCAACCGTGCCTGGGACTTGCAACCAAGGTGTAGGTTTAAGGGGCCCCTTAACTAACGCGCGTTATACGCTCACCTCCACTGTCCAAGCTCCTCTCTCTACCTAACCAAATTTGAAAAGAACCTACTAGGGCGGCCTTCGACGTACGTTCCAAGAATGAATTAATGTTAGTTCTGGACAGGCCCAAGTCTTTTAGTAGGTTATAGAGAGATTTAGCTGTTATACCTCTCGCTCCCACCTCTACCGCGTACAAATCAACGACGAACCTATTTGGAGTTGGTTCGTTAGTGAGCTCGTAATACTTATTGACCTTGATGGTATGGTCTTTTGGGGATGTTGGTTTCCCAAGGCACCGTAAGCTCCATCATCACAACGCGCTTTAAAATACGCGAATATAGAAATATGTCTGGTCTGGAGGCCGACGCACAAATATCCTCGGGGATTTTGTATTGTTTCTCATACGTATCCATCATGATAGTCCAATCCGAAGCCGCTTTAAGGATAGAGTAAGGCTTAACATTTGATTTTATAGCCCTAGTGCCCTCTCTCACAAAACCTATTGATCGCTCGTTTGTGGTTATTTCCCTTTGCGCTCTGGCTACCGAGAGACTAACCGCTTCACGTATGATCTCAAGAACTCTATCGTGACGATGCGAATATTGACCGCTGTCCAGAAGAACCTTACATCCCACCAGCAAATGCTTAGCAGTTCCAACTGCCTTTCCACAGATATAGCAAGTTTTTTCGGTACCTTTACCCCATCTTACTAAATTACTCTGATCTGGGAGAGTCATCTGGAACGCATTAAGATAAAATTTTAGCAAGGCTGGCGACCAGTCATGAATTAGGGTGCGCCATTTTAGTGCTAGTGGAATGTAAAAATCTCCTATGTCTAACCACTCGTTCTGCATTTCTAAACTCATTGCATGGATCTTGTATTTATCGTTCTCGTCTTGCCGAATAAAAGACTTCAATATATCGATATCTTGGACTTCCTTTCTAGATCCTAACCCTACTCTGTTATTTTGCGCTCTGATCATAAATTGTTTATGGAATTGAAGTCGTGACTCTAGCTCTGGGGCATCTTTGTCTTTTGGGAGTGATGTAACGACGTCATCATGGGATTTCCCCAGGATATGTCTCTTGGAAACTCTTAGGTGTTTGTAGAGCTCCGATGGTCTTTTTAGATTCATCCCAAAACTTTTATGATCCCTGAATAAAGCCGATGAATCAGCCGTTGGCGCGAGCCCGAGCCACAACTTCAACATCTTTATGACGCCTGCATCTAATTTAGATAAAAGGGTTTTACTAAAATCATAGACGAGGAAAGACAATTTAAACGTGAAGTTAAGTAATTATCGTACATCCATGCTTTTTTTACGTTACTGATCTGTTGGCTATCTACCTTGCTGAGATCATTTAAAAAACTATCTACTATTCCTTCTAAAGATGGAGTACGACCTATATTATCAATCTTACGACCGAGAAACTTGAATGGAGCATTTTCCGTAACGGTAGAAACGACAGATATGTAATGACGTATGGAAAACAATTTGATATTTGTAAGAAATCTACTATAAAAAAATAAGTCCGGTTTTCCATCCTGACGCTATAACTTCAGGACGAAAGAACCAAGAAAAGGGGGAAAATCTTTTGTCACATACAGCGCCATCATACATAACATGTACTACAAATCAATATTTTAAGTAGATGGTGCCGTCGCATGATACATTGTTTGACAGCTACTCATTGTTTTCTTCTCTGTTAATTTAATTTGACAAACCGCTATTGTGTTTGTAGTTTGAACTCTTAAAACCATTTAGTATTTGCGGGATAAATTTAGAAAATCATTGTTTTTCACATGGGCAGTTATATTTTGCATGTTCACGAGTTTTGAAACCATCCGCTTTGTGTTAAAGTTAGACCAAAAAACAAAAAATGTGGCTTACAAAGGAGCACTTCAATGAAACGGATAATTTGCGTACACGTATAACGCTTCGATTCGGTATCTACTTTGGATTCACTTTCATGTACTTAGAGAAGTTCAACTAAATAACACTTCATTTTTGTAATCGAAATGAATTCAATACTGTTGTGAAATGAAATAACAATTTTCCTTTTCAAATATAAACGAAAAAAATCTTCATCTTTTAATCACCAAACGAAATGTTATATAAAAGCCTTCTGGTGGCGAAACGGAGTTCGCCGGGTTTACTAGTTGTAATATACTATAAAAGAGTTCCGACTCCAAATTTATAAATAACAAAAACTTTTTTCTATTTGTAGTGTTCTTTATTTGTTTTGGCTAAATAAAAAAATATTAATAATATACAAATAAAATTCGAATACAATACTTCAAAGATAATTTATTTCTACAACAAGCCGATAGATTTCGTCTATTTCGATCAATGTCACAAACATCTAATAGAATCAGATAATTATGATTACTCATATTTTTCTTTGTAAATAATGAAGAGGACATGTTAATATGGACGTAAACATAACTGTGACTGACTTGTAAGCCTTAATTTAAAAACTAAATTAATCTAATGTTCATATTACATTACTTGTCAGAGAGATCTTAATAATACACTAATTTGTAGCCTAAGGCAAGCCAACTGATATAGTTTATAATATGAATAATACTAAGTTATTGAACACGCTTTAAAATAATATTGCTTCAAATTGATATCATTATAGAAGACAGTATCCAAATATATATGTACAATATACATAAATTTTCGTAAGCAGTAAATAGTTTAATTTAAACGAGTTTATAGATTCACTAAAATATATTGGTTATATAAAATGACCCAAATTGTCACGAGCGTTACCCGGAATAAATAGGTTTATTAAATAATTTTATTATGTTAATAGTTATTTTAAATATTGCCATATAAAAACAACGTCTTAAATTTAAATATTGAAATATAATACTATTGTTATATTATATTTATAAACTTTATTTTTTTACTTTACATATGGTTCTAAATTCATTAAAAATTTTAAAAATTACATTTTCATATACATAAACCTACTAATATGGAGTAAAGAGACATTCGGGTGCTAATGTACATATTTGCGTAATTGATTTACTGTAATTTCTATAACGCTTTAAAGTTCTAATATTTTATATATTTGATACATGTATTGTAAACCTCTAAGGTTATTAAAATTATTTTGTGCAGTTTCAAGATCGAAGTGATTATATAAAAAAGGGAATATCGTATTTCTTTTCAAGATTAATTTAATTTGTTAGGTATTTGTATATACAACCTTATTTTATTAAAGTGATATAAAACAGTAACGATAATACTTAAAAATAAATAAAAGACTAAAAATACATTCTTTGCCATTAATATGAATTATATGATAATGTTCCTGTATATACATAGTTATGTATGTATACAACTGTATATATATTGTATAACTGTATACAACTGTATACAATATATACAGTTGTATATATTATGTATCGATTGTTTGTCTTATTGGTAAGATACTAACAATAGTCACTTTAAAAATTTCTATTTTTAATACCGGCCTTTTTCTATTTTCAATACCTTTCATTCAACATTTATCTATCATAATTCATAAATTGATTATATTGCTCTATAAATAATATGTAAGCAATGTAGGGCATACGTAAATATATATCATTATTATATACTTAACTCACTACTAATTGCTATTATTTCATTTCATATGGTTTATGGGTGTTTGGAAGTAGTCTTTATTTCAATTAATATTACATTTTATGTTATTCAAGATAAATAAATTCCATGATTATATTGTAGATCTTTGTTTCAATAGGTTTTATAAACATTGATAATGTTTACAGGGAAATTATTAAATGTGAGTGTTTGTCTTCGGAGTTTTATCTTCGAGTCTTCTATTTTTTGCCAGATTATAATTTTAAACTATCTTTAAACATATATTCGTAATACGAGTATAAAGGCTCAGGTATCACATGAACTAAAAAGCATATGTTATCTTAAACTGAGAGAAGTTTGAAATAGAGTAATATTCTGAGTACAAAATTCATTCTGTGGTTTTATACAAATACACAGAAACTTTTCAAACTATCTAAAGCATACTTCAAATTTAATGCTAGTATTTGGATAAACGTTTCCGTTTATTTTATCACGTTTTTTAAACAGCTACTTATCACTAATTACAATAAGATTTTTTTGCATCAAAACTCAGCATTTGAACTAGAGATAAGTCTCTAATGTGTGTGTTGCAGGTGCTGGTGTCCATCCAGTCGCTCATCCTGGTGCCGGAGCCGTACTTCAAGGAGCCGGGCTACGAGCGGAGTCGCGGCACACGAGTAGGTAACAGCGCCAGCCTCGAGTACAACTCCAACATATACCAGGCGTGCGTACCAGGTAAGGATAACTACTGTTAATAGTAAAGATTACAAGCTAAAGCTTGTAGTCTTTACGTTTAGTTTCCATGGAATATTATTTTTATGTGTTTGAATTATTACTTATGAAAAATATTGTACTAAACTAAATATTGTACTTACGAAAAATACGGAGACAATGAATAATAATAATTATAATGAAAAAGGTTTTCTGTCGTTACTTTTCATAACTGTTATTAAAAAACACGAGAGATTAAAAGTTAATGTCAGAATAACTTGTTATCTCTTAATGACGAATTTTTTTAACAAATACTATATAACACTAAAAGTTGCAGCAAAGTAAGTATTAGCAATAAATTTTGCATTAAATATTGTTTCGGAATCCCAATTAATATTGGTAAATTTTTCTGTACACTTGAAGAATCTTTGTACGTTTAATTAAATTTATAACAATATTATTTTATAATTTTGATAGAGGAACTTCCTAGTCGTAAAGATCGTGAGAACAGACGGTTTTCAAACTATAAAGTTACTAGACTACTCGCTGAACCTTTTAATACTCCATAAAAAGAAATGTTATCTTTGATCTTAGAACGACCCATAGTTTAGAAAACTAATCTACTTAGTCCTTTTTAGTGTATAATTACATACAGTGGTGGCCTAGTGGTTAAAGGGCCCGCATCTCGCTGCCGAGGGCGCGGGTTTGATCCTGGCCCGGGCAAGTACCAATGTGATTTTTCCGAGTCATATGTAATTTCTAAGAGTATTTAGTCATCATTGATTAATTGCAATTTGCATTCCCAAAGAGGGTTGATGTCAGGCAGGCGGCCGGTCGCAAAAACAATTAGCTAAAACTATTCACAACATATAAGGCAGACCCTGGCTATAGCTGGCAACTTGCCAGGTAGAAGGAAGTGTATAATTACATAAAATATCCAGTAACAAGTTTTCGTTCTTATGTATTTTTTGTATGTCATCAGCCTATTAACGCCCACTGCTGAGCATAGCCTCTTCTCACATGGAGAAGGTTTTGAGCATTAATCATCACGCTTGCTCAAGACGGGTTGGTGATTTCAAACTTATAATTGTGAAACTATAAGTCCAGGTTTCCTCACGATGTTTTCCTTCACCGTATATTGAAATTTATTTAAAAGATGCATATAAAAACCATATGTTCGATGTAAATGAAAGAAAAATCCTAATAATCAATTATTATACTAAAAAAAACCTTATATAAACATATTATATAAAATACTGTTCCTTGTTTATGTAACTTCTATTGTAGTTTTTTTGATGAAAAGAGTGTATACTGTATACCTGAACGAAATAGTATTATTTAAATACGTTTCTTCTCGTTGAAGTTGGTTCTTTTTTTTATCACTAATTGTCTAGTGTGTAGTAAATTATTATCATTGTCTCAATCTATTGTAACATATCTGAATATTCTTCGGGTTTTCACTTTTAATTGACTTTCACATCTTGAGTCAATATCACTTTAATACCCTTACATAATTTCATATTATTATAAGTATCAATGAGTCAAAAAGACAAAAGTATTTTGAGTCTTGACCACTTCTGTGTTTAAAATCTTTGTAAAATAAACCATGTGAGATAGGAAATGAAGATTTGTTTAAATGTATTTCAGACTTCAAATATGAAATGGCTATTTTTACCTACTATTACAAAAGGGGATCACAAACTAATGTTAATGATGTACTAAATAGATTTAGACCTACTTCTTACAAGAATTGTATAAACATTTAACTACATATTTAAATTAATCTATTAAAATGAAATGACTATATAAGAGATTCTTTCTATATTGAACAAAATAAATATAATGGAGAACTGTGTGATTTGTATGAAAATTAATAAAATAATATATTTAAAAGCTTCCAATTA